GTTCCTACTGCTTTCGACAGGACAGACGCAACCTGCTTCCCCCAGTTGAGATGGCCACTGTGCCCCGCACACCTAAACGAAGGAACTAAAATAGTGTGTGGCAAAGATGGCCACCATCTCACTGTTCTCAAAAAAGGTGAAACCAAGCTACGTTTAAGGAAAGTGGCAGTCCCATAGGCTAGGCGGAGCAGGTGAATATGAAAGTGAATCAGATAGAGACAGGGAACATAAAGGAATATGGAGAAGAGCCATAGGGGGAGGGGGCACATAGGAGAATACAGATAATTATAGCACGAGAAGGTAGAGAATAAAAGCATGGAAGACCAGGGGCTACAGCGAATATCAAGGAAGAGTGCAAGAGGAGCAGAAGACCGAGTAGAACAGGGATCAACAGAAACAAAGAAAATATAAGCCACAAAGGAGAAGAGAAACTGAATGACAGCTCATCCATGCCAAAAGTTGGAAGCCATCTTGCAGAGCACATTTTTGTCTAGACCTTTAAAGGTGAACACTGATTCGGAAGGTAGGACATAAAACAGGGGGTGGGGGTATTCCCACTGCAAAACACTAAATGTCACATGGGTAACGTCAGCATTTTAAAAACTTGGTAAGTTTCATTGGTTTAATTTTTCAGTACTTATGTTTAGCAAAATTGCTTCTATCACCAACCTTCATCCTTTACCCACTTCTACTGCCCACTTTTCTCTTCACCCCACAGACTGTTTCTTTTAGCCTTAGAACAGTCTGCCTCTGGCACGCACACACACACACACACACACACACACAAAATCCTCTGTAGTCCAACAAAGGAGCTCCCCTGCGGTGCACAACGGGAAGTGTGTCAGAATCCTTAACCAGCTTATTACTGGCTCAGAAACAAAGGTTTGCGCTCCAAAGGCTACGGAGTTAAAGGGAAACTAATAGACAAGCATCAAACTACTTCAAAAGTGTTCACAACTAATAGCATTGTGATGAGATATTGTGGTGAAGTAGGAAGAAAGTAGAGGTAACCTGATGAGTCTGGGGAGGAGGGGCATTTTAGTAAATGAGATGCTGCAAGGTAGGTTAGGTAGACTTAAGGCAAGTCTTATGTAAGGAACACCTCTGTCTCTGGGCAACAAAGTAGACAGTGTAACCTGTCCAGTAACTTAACTTTTCTTTTTTCCAGCTTTTCTGGGTTTGTACTAGTTTTTTCTATAACAAAGTAACTGCCACGCTTTCTTTTTCATAGCAAGAAAAAGGAAGAAGAAAGCTTCCAATTTGAATCTCAACAAAACAGTTAATTTAAAATTATGCACATAATACAAAATAGTTTGACAAATTGCTAGTTTCTGGGATCTTCCATGACTTTTGAGGCAAACCTAACATTTATCTTTACCATGTGCTCTTAATACCATGTTTTAATTCTCATATTTTGTTACAGAGTTTTAAGATCCTTAGAATTTTTTTTGGAATAAAACATGAAATCAGATTGACAGCATCTATTACAGACTGAATTTCTATACCACAGGTCCACAAATCTTAGATTTGGACCTGAATACTGACAGAGACATTTAAGTTAGGTTTATTTTTAACCAAAACAATTATACTGGAATATCCCAAAGCATGGATGCATTCACACAAGTAAAACACTGGTGCCTAACATTGGCACAACTTATTCTTGTATATCATGAACAAATATTGATATAACCAGTTTTATAAATTTTTGTAGCTATTCTGACTAGAGGAACTGTATCACTTTAACTGTACTAAACCTGGGTGTAGACAAGCCCTCAACCTGCCAGGCTATCCTTATGTTATTTTTCCATATTGCCCTATTAAAAGACAGGATGGACAAAACTCAACAATTATAAAAATCAGATTTATTTTACTTAATCGCATTTTTAAGATGCTTTTTCTTTTTAAATAAGCCTATATAAAGATGGTTTTCATTTCAGATACGTTAATGTTCAAAGATATCATCATGGAATAGGGATTATAACTTCTAATCATATACCCTGAGACAATATATTCATGTAACCTTTTTAGAAAAGTTTTACAAATAGGTCACAACAGGCCATGAACTGTATCAGGGGCCCAAATGTATGGGGTTCCCAGACATTCTTCTACTGATTAGTAAAGATGATTGGTGATCAGCCTAGAAGATCCCATTAAGCATCTCTGCGATGCTTAGTTTTAGTTCTCAAACTCTGGATTTGTGTCCCCAGAGATAACATCCTTGTTGACAGCAGTATATGGAGATGAGAGAGAACAGACCTGATCAGTAGGGCTGTGTGGAGCTTTGGGTGGTGATTCGATTCAGAGGAGATTTGGCCCTATTTGGTGGACAAATCTCCCAATCTGAATGGAATCAGGGGACCAATTAAAAGGTCTAAATTGATTAAAAAATCCCCAAATCTTTGGCAAAGATTCGGAGAGCTTTGATGATTCGGACAGTCCCTGGTGGCTACAGTAGGGAGCTGCAGCTACTGCGAGCTGGTAAGTACTAGGGGTGGGGGAGGAGACTATGGAGGGACCCCTGCCTGCTCC